ACGAGAAAAGATGTCGTTTTAACGAGAAAAGATGTCGTTTTAACGAGAAAACATCTCGTTATTACGAGAAAAGATGTCGTTAAACGACATAATTGAGTGGAAAAAATAATATGTGTGCGGCAGCAATGCGTCACCGTAACACCAAGGCACTAAAAAGCTCTCTTCTAAAATCTCTTCCACATATATCTTTTATCCTAACCTGCTGTGACAAACAATAAACAACATTTTGTATTATGACGAAATATAAAATATATAATATCTCCTGCATATAAGCTTGCTTTTTTGCTCAAGAGGATTAAATCCACATGCCACATAGGGCTGCACGATAAATCAAAATAGATTCGAAATCGCGATTCGACAGAAGCTGCGATTGTCATGTGTATCTTTCAGTGAAGCACGGTTCTGTGATCAGCAGTAAATCTCCATCCAAAGGCGAGGGCGCTCTCGCGCTGAAACTCCAAATAGCCTACGCTTCGCAGAAGAAACCCAGTAAATGCCTATAGCGGTAGCTGGATAAACAGAAGATTCAACTGCTTTCATTGATTCAACGTGACTAATAAACACACGATTATGACAATATATGGTTTATCTAAGTTATTATTTATGTAATTTTAATTAAAATAAAGTATATTTATAATGCAATGCCTTTATCACTGCTTAGAATACTATGAAATATGTTGCATGCCTTATTCTGTGTAAGAAGCCACATCATCTCACAGAAGGATTTATTTCAAACACTCGACTGACGTTATGAAGTGAGTTTGGAGTAAAAATATGTTATTAAATGTGGTATTTTCACATGCTTTCAGATGGAGCAGCATTTACTACACAGAGCCGTACGTAGTTCACTGAGAAGCTATGCAAACAGCTGTCATTATCACAAACGATTTCTTCGATTTCATAATCGCGCAATAAAATTGTCTGCGTAACTTGTAAGTGAACTACAGCTCTGTGTAGTAAATGCTGCTCCATCTGAAAGCACGTGATGATGATTTACTGCTGATTACAGAACCGGCTTTACTAACAAAATGCGCATGACAATCGCATTCGATTAATCGTCATATGCTTCTAACCACGAGTTAGCTGTACAGTATAGTTTCAACCACAACATGCACATTACGATGATGTTTGCAAAAGTTTGTTGGAACAATAAAACACTATAATATAGCCCGGTAACACTTTACTTGAAGGGGTGTGCATAAGACTGACATGACACCTTCATAATCATGACATGACACATGTCATGAATACGAAGGAGGTTTTATGCATGTTTATGACAACTGTCATTAAGTGTCATTCGCTCAGTTATGTCATTTTTAATGCAAATATGACATTATTTGACCTAACCCTACCCCTACCCTTACCCCTAACCATAGCCCATAACAAAGACATCTCAAACAATGTCATCTTTGCATTAAAAATTACATAACTGAGCGAATGACACTTAATGACAGTTGTCATAAACATGCATAAAAAACCTTCATATTCATGACATGTGTCATGTCATAATTATGTAGGTGTCATGTCATGATTATGAAGGTGTCATGTCATGATTATGAAGGTGTCATGTCAGTCTTATGCACACCCCTTCAAGTAAAGTGTAACCTATAGCCCTTCTATAGAAAAGAGTGGCCTTTCTTTCTTTTTTTTCACAGTAGAAAAGGCCATATTGGGTTAGAGTGATATGAGGATGAGTAAACGATGACAGAATTTACTTGTTTTTTTGTCAGTGAACTGTTTATTTAATATGATATGTATGAATAAGAAATACTATAAAATACTTGCCAGTGTTTACATTTGTGGTTTATCTTGTTGTGCTACGACCAGGTTCCTGTTGTGACCTGAGAGAACATGAGTGCAAACCTCACAATCGCGGCCTAAACAACAAGTGTTATGATGACTGCATGTGTGAGGAGGGTGGGTATGACTTTTTTTGGTTTACTTAGAAGGTAACATTCTAGAGCGATACAAACAAAATGTAAAAAGGAATCTCATAAAACCGGTCTGGGTCATACAGTATTTCACAAATAAATAAATAAATAATGAAAAATAAATAAAACAGAATTTTGCTTAAAGGGGTCATATGACGTTGCTAAAAAGAACATTATTTTGTGTATTTGGTGTAATGCAATGTGTTTATGCGGTTTAAGGTTAAAAAAACACATTATTTTCCATATAATGTGCATTATTGTTTCTCCTCTATGCCCCGCCTTTCTGAAACGCGTCGATTTTTACAAAGCTCATCGTTCTAAAAAAGTGAGGTGTGCTCTGATTGGCCAGCTATCCAGTGCGTTGTGATTGGTCGAATGCCTCAAGCGTGTTACGGAAATGTTACGCCCCTACCATACTGTGATGCCGTCTCCCAGCAGGACGAGTCAAAACCAATAAAACCCATTACAAATGAGGCATTTGTTGCATCCAGTGGGGACATAATTACTGATTATAATGACATATACTCTCTTTTTATGCGTATCGGGCTGCGCAAACATAAAACCATGTCTGCATTTGTGATCGGAGAAACAACAAACAACAAGCCTACTCTACACTGCTCAAAACTCGCGTTTGAATAATCAGTGGCAAATTATTTAAATATAAAAAACGTACTTACAGGCTGTGAGTCAGAAGCGCCAGACTGTCCTTGCAAATTTGGAACTGCCCAACTTTATAGAAACAGCCTTTGTGCCACAGACGCATTGTAGGCTACTGGTTCAGGAAACAGTCCTCATCCTCCATAAAATGCACAGCACACATCTGAATATTTGGGTTGAACTGTTCTGGAACAGTGTTGTAAATACAACTTAACCACTGATTTCTAGTTGTGTCCTCTTTTGGAAGACCAAACAAAGTAGTTTCGCTTTCACATCGAAACACACAGCGACTTCACAATATGGCAGCGGCAGCAACAGCAAGAATTAAAGTTACACCTTCTTTCTTTGCGTGAACATTTGGGCGGCGTTATGCAGATCTTCCCACATCGTGACGTAGACATGTGGAGGCGTGTTAGAACGAGGCGTTTTAGGTAGGCGTGGTTGACTCTTAACTTTTATAAAGAATATCTCTTTGGATTTGAGACTTTAGTCTTTGCAACTTTACAGATCTTCTTTATGCACCAAGAGCTTGTAACACTTCAAAGAGAAAGGAAAAATTTAAATCGCATCATATGACCCCTTTAAAGAAAATGTTTATTATTATTTTTTATTACATCATGGCCCTAACCTGGGAACATGTAATAAACGAAACATAATAAATGTAAATGTCAAATTCTTTAGGTCTGCGTTGTTATGCCAAGTTCCACCGCAAGAGGAGAGTGACCCGAAGACGGGGCCGCTGTGTGGAGCCAGAATCAGCCAACAGCAACCAAGGAGCCTTCATCACCATCTGACATATAGAGAGATACCCCATGACTGATGATGGACTGAGCTTTGAAGAATGTGGGTCAACGTTAAACGTCCTCAGCCCACAGTATAAATGTACATACACTGTTCATCTGCTTGTCAGGGTTGTGCACCATTCAGAATTAAATTTAGAATGGCTTTTAAATTCTTGAATTTGAATTGAGGTAGCAATCAGTATACAGAATTGTAATTTGAAACCGAAAGTAGAATTTTATTTTTCAGTTTGAATTAGCCACGAATGTTGTCACACACAACATATGGGATATTTCTAGAAACTCTAGATGATATTAATAATACAATTTTGAAATGCCACCTATTAAAATCAAATACTTTTTTGGACTTAATCAAAGCCAACTAATAAATGGACCACTGAATTTTCTAATATGCTTTTATTATTAGTACTCGTGTGGATAAGCTCAATATATAATGTAATTGATAGGTTCAAATTTGGTCAGTATTTATTTTTTATAAAATTATTTGAAAACAATTTGATGATTTTTTGTGATGCATGGTGGCATAATTAAAATCTGAAAAAAAGACGCCTCTACCTACAATTTTGCAAAACTCTAAAAGCATACCTTTACACACAATTAATCAAAGCTTCCAGCTCAAATGAACTCTAGAGTCAGTAAAATGGCAGCAACTTTTTTATTTATTTTCAAAATGATGATTATGGGGACAGATTTTCTATTAATAACAAATATTTTTGTGTGGTTCCTTGCACAATATTATAGCATAACCTCAAAATGCTTTTACCATAGCACATGATTTGTAAATAAATACATTTTGACATTGGCATCACATAATCAGCTCCATATGTACTGTATGGCTTTTCTAATGTAGTAAACTTGCTCAGTATCTCACCCGGTACAGCACTGCACTTTGTGCTGCAGAACGCTCAGCTATGAGTTCCATGAAACACAAGATAAAACACAACCTTGGTTGGAAGTTAAACAATGTATTTACTTTATAGAAATAGGTCTGTTCAAAGAAAAATGATTTGTGCGTATTAGGGATTAAATAAGCACAAGTATACAATAACTGATTAAATTGACGATGCAGCTACGCTGTGTCATAAAACTAAAATTTCTAGGTAGAATTACTATTGTCAATTCCTCTTTCTGTTATTCAAATACCAATTCAACATTCTGACTGTGGCCAATTGAATTTTGCAGTTCACATTTATGAATTTCAAGGAAGCTGATTCTTAAAGTATGAATTTTGCCCAACCCTGCTGTTTGTCAAAAGTTAATTTTAAGTTTGAACAGAATAATTTGTGTTTGAATGGAAGGCTTTTTCTACTGATTATTGTTATACTACTGTCAATAACTACTGCTACTCCTGTATTAATGGATATTGATTTGTTTGGTTTATTTGTAATATGTGCTTTATTTATTCAAGTACCAAACAGCTTCTTTTATTGAGAGATGTTATCATGGACAGGGAATGTGCTCTTCTTTAATGACTGTGTGTTCTGACAGAAAGATGGATGGTTGAATGAGTGATTGTTACCTGTATGGGTTAGACTGGAGGGATAGAGATGGACAGAGGAGATCGAGGGAGAGATGGATGACTTGTCAGTTTAAATCACTGAGCTTCTTTATGGTCTCACACACCTGTGTCATGTCACTGTCTTGTTTTAACTGTTTATTACACTTTTATGTTAGTGGGGCTGTAGATATGCTTTAGTCTTTGTAAAGTTTTTTTTTCTCTGTTACCTTGTTTTCAACTTGAAATTTCTCAAGCTCCATAAATTGTCAATTATTTTGAACTGATATACCAGAAATAAACTTAACTAAGGACACTAGGATCCTAACAGTTTTTCCCCGCTCCATCACAGATGCTGTTGAGATGATGGCACACTGTGATATATTGTACATATTATTGCAAATATTTAGGTCACAAAAAATATTAAGTTTCCCTACAACTGCGTGATTAGTAGACAACAATTATATTTGAAATAGTACACTGCAATGCACTGCTACTGTAGGTCCATGTTCTAAATGCATGGGATACACTGATGGCTTTCTACTTACTTGCTAATATGTGACCCTGGACCACAAAACCAGTCTTAAGTCGCTGGGGTATATTTGTAGCAATAGCCAAAAATGCATTGTATGGGTCAAAATGATAGATTTTTATTTTATGCCAAAAAACATTAGGATATTAAGTAAAGATCATGTTCCATGAAAATATTTAGTAAATTTTCTACTGTAAATATATTAAAACTTCATTTTTGATTAGTAATATGCATTGCTAAGAACTTCATTTGGACAACTTTAAAGGTGATTTTCTCAATATTTAGATTTTTTTTTTGCACCCTCAGATTCCAGATTTTCAAATAGTTGTATCTCGGCCAAATATTGTCCTATGCTAACAAACCATGCATCAATGGAAAGCTTGTTTATTCAGCTTACAGATATAAATTTATACTTTCAGTATAAATCTGAATTTCCCTTATGACTGGTTTTGTGGTCCAGGGTCACATATGTGCAGTATACATGAAAGCATACTGTGCTTAGTACTGTATCCCACAATGCAACAATGATTAAACTGAATATTATATAGGTTATTTTTTCCTAATCTTTTTCTTGACTCATTAGCATTTTTATGATAGTATACTACCATTTTACTCTTACCATTATATCCAGTGCTCCTAGATGTGATATTTTCCCCAAACCAACAAAACCTGCAATCCCACCTCACAGCCGATTCTAATGGTTTTATTGTTCATGTCATTCACAGTGTTAAATGCATACAGAACACTGAAACAAATCTGAACAGGTGACTGCTCAACTGAGTTGAAATAAAATTAGCTGTGGGATGATGGAGTTTGTGATTAACTGCTTAGGCAAAAAAAAAAAATCACTCATAATTTTAAATTTTGTTGTAAAATGCTGTGTTTTATCAAGGCATTAACGTATTGTGATGAATATATCATCAGCACCATACCCTGAGAGTACATGAGAAGTTGACAAAATATGTAGGCAAAATGTCACAATTGTTAAAAAAAATTATTTTAACCACCAGATTTACACCATAATTGCATTAGATTCCTTGTGTACATACTTTCTTTTATAACACTCATTGGAGTGCAAATTTATGAGAGATTATCCTCAGACCATGCTGGCCATATCAAGTTGAAACATCAAACCATTCTCATATAACGCATCAGTGAATTATAATGAAACATGATGATTAAACAATATCATCTAAACAGGCAGGAGAAGATACATACTACTTTTGATTAGGTAATTTTTATTTGTTAAAAAAAATTTTTTTTTTAATTGTGCTGCAAAATTCAGAGTGGTTTGCAAAAAATTAGTTCGAACTGAATCGCATGATTTATCTGAACTACAGGAATTTTGATAATCAAAAAATGCAATGTATGGCTTAAAGAGAATTTTATTAGCACAATGACAAAAAGTTGAACACTGGTTGTAGAGCCTGGGCTTGTCATTGAATCTAGAACCTCAGGCAGTGTTTGATGCCTCTGAAAAACTTCCTTAGAGAGCTCTATAATGCACGGACGTGTCCTCTAAACTGACTAATAGTCTGTGGCATTGTCTTTGTCCAGGGACTGGAAGGCTCTCTGCAGAGCAGGTGACCTTGCTTTCTGTGTCTTTGTGTCCTTCTGCCTTCCTTGCTGTTTATTTATCTTTTCATTCTCTTTGTGTATTCTGAGTCACACTTCCTTCCAGAGTATCGTTGTTTCTTGTTTTTCACCTTCAGTATATTACCCGATATCAATATTTGCGAGGTAGAGCCCAAATAAATTTTTGGCACATTAGTGCTATTTAATGGACCAGGCTAGTGCCACACAAGGCCTTTGAATGCCAGGGGCCTTTTAAAGTCACAGGCTGCATGGCTTCAGACTGCAAAAGGAAACTTAACACTGTGGTCCTAGGTGCATACTGTCTGACCATTGAAGCCTCCAGGCCATTCATGTACACAGTTTGAGATAACCACTGGGCCCACTGCAACTTTTAAATGAGGGTCCTTCAGAGAGTACAGTGTGAGCTGAACAACAGGGCCCCCAGGTGACTCCACCTGCACAATGCAAGCTTAACACCAGAACTGCATGTGGGTCAATAATAATGTGTCTTCAATAAAGAAAAAATCTTCTTAAAATCTAGGTTAAATTGGCTTTGAAATTTATATTTGTATTGAAATAAAAAAAGAAAATTGAAAATTAGAAAATTTTTTTCATGTTGACTTAAAATATTAAACATTGTTCAAACATGAATTTAAAAGTATTTAAAATGTTTAAATGTGATATTTTTACATATTTTCCCCTCTCAATTTATCAGTTAAATTTTTTCTTGCATCTTTCTGTATATATATATATATATATATATATATATATATACATATATATATATATATATATATATATGTATATGTATATATATATATATATATACAGTGCCGTGAAAAGGTTTTTGCCCACTTCCTGTTTTTTTTTATTTTTTTTGCATATTTGTCACACTTAAAAGATTCAGATCATCAAACAAATTTATTTTTACACAAAGATAATGCAAGTAAATACAGAATGCAGTTTTTAAATGATGATTTCATTTATTAAGGGAAAAAGCTGTCCAAACCTAATCGGCTCTACGTGAAAAAGCAATTGCCCCCTTCGGTTAAATCATGAAATAACTGTGATTAACCACATTATTTTAGAAAGCTGAGTTAAATTTCACTAGCCACACCCAGGCCTCATTACTGCCAGACCTGTTGAATCAAGAAATCACTTAAATAGAACCTGTCTGACAAAGTGAAGCATGCTTAAAGAGCAACACAGCATGCCGTGATCTAAAGCAATTCAAGAGCAGATGAGAAACAAAATAGTTGACATTTATCAGTCTGGAAAGAATATAAAGCCATTTCTAAGGCTTTGGGACTCCAGCGAACCAGGGTCAGAGCAATTATCCACAAATGGCGAAAAACTTGGAACAGTGGTGAACCTTCCCATGAGTGGCCGGCCTACCACAATTACTCCAAGAGCGCAACGTCGACTCATCCAGGAGGTCATTAAAAGAACCCAGAACAACATCTAAAGAACTGCAGGCCTCACTTGCCTCAATTAAGGTCAGTGTTCATGATTCAACAATAAGTAAGAGACTGGGCAAAAACAGCATCCATGAGAGAGTTCCAAGGCAAAAGCCACTGCTGACCAAAATGAACACAAAGGCTCGTCTCACATTGATGGAACCATGAATTCTGCACTCTATCAGAAAATCCTGAAGGAGAATGTCCGGCCGTCAGTTTGTGACCTCAAGCTCAAGCGCACTTGGGTTATGCAGCAGGACAA